AACAAAGATGTTTAATCGACACATTCTCGCATTAAAAATGAATTACAATGTGTTTACAAGGTTCGGAAAATTACAAAAACCTAGTTGGGCCTGGGTTTACAAAATAATTAAAAATAGTAAAACCTACAAGAGTTGCATAAATTGCAATCATAGCTACTAAAAAATGTTATACTAAGAATTTAAATTTTTAAAATTTAAACATTTAACAGTTAATTTTTGAAGGATGTTGCGTTTGCCATTAGGACAGTACTAGGGAAAAAGCTTGGCCTAAAACGCTCGGTTTTACATTTAAAAGACGTCTAAGAGTTGGGGTTTCTAAGGGAGTAGTCATGGGCAATAGACCTTACCTTACCTTTATGTCAATCCTGATTAACACAAATTACATTATCACTCTTCTCTTGGCGATTTCGTGGGAGCCACGCGGGATGCAAATTCGTAAACCCTTTTCATTTTATTTCTAGCTATTTCATGTCCTGTGCTTTCCGTGTCTAACGCCGATCCTCCGACTGGTATTTGCTCCAATGCTGATTTAAGCTACCAGACCTACTGTTCCTTCAAATGCCTTGCTGGGTACCAGCTGAAAGGCTCTGAGGTGCGTGTCTGTCAACACGACAAGACATGGTCTGGAACTCCATCGACCTGTGAAGGTAATCGACGTATATAAATCATATGATCGTTTGAGGTTTTTGCTAAAATTAGAGGGATTTTCGTATGACCTTGAAATGAAAACGAGAGAACAAAACAGAAACAACAAACGATCGAAAGTAGAGCGATTTGGTTGGTTTATCGAACGGATAAAAACGCGCTTGGCCTTTTGTTGGTTAAGCGAACGCTCGGGTCAGAAAAACCTCATGCCCGAGAACTTCTAGAAATCAACAGATACTTCGCTTTAACGTCATACTGCAACCCGATTGGCTAATCTACCAATGCCTCCTCCATATTAGGACTTTCTTTGGCGGGAAAACGAAGAAGCCATATTTTGATTTTTCATCCATTGGCTGATAAACTAAAAACAGATAACGAACAATTTCCGAAACCATTTTTCAAGGTTATACGAAAATCGCTCTATCCAGAGAAAAGCATACATTCATTGGATAACAAAATTGGATAGTACTATTCAAATCAGTTATCCGCGCTTGAAATTTAAAAGCACAAATTTCGTCTTTTTTTTAGTTGATTATATAATCAATTTTTTCGCTTTTTCAGTAAGAAATGCTAGAAATAGTGGAAGGCCAACCTGTTTTACAAATAGGTCCCCCTTGTAAATATGAAAAAAAGGGCTTGATATCAATGGATTTAAAACTTCCAGCCGGTGCTTCAAACTAAAAATGAACATGGACAATTAAAACTTTGTAAAAAAAGAAATTTCATGCAATAAACGCTGGCACAAGTTTGATTCAAACAAGGAAAGGTAAGCAAACAGAACTTCACTTCAAAGAACACAGGGCAATGACATGCACCACTAATTAGTCAATTTCAATAAAAGACTTCATTTTTTTATGAAATCAGGATCATGATTATTTTAGTTCATGTGACCATCCGTTAACTTTGAGCAAGTATAGACTGTGAGGCAGTTTATCTTTTTCTTCAGATTTAGGGAAGGTAGTGCACGCGCGTGCGAGTGTTAAGCGGCAAAGCAGCGAGATGCTAGAAACTAAAGAAGGAAGCCCGAGAAGTCAGTCACGCGCGTGTTTATTTTCCAATCTGGCGCGTTTCCCTCAAATGACTGAGAAAAACAGGTCAAAGTAGGTACTGATTGTCGTCTACTCTGAGCAATGCTGTTAATTGTTTTTAGAATCTAGGCTGTCAACTTACACTGGTCAAGTAGAGAATTTAGGACTCAGTATCCATTTTAGCCACATACTTTGTCCTTTGTTTGCAGAAACGCCTTTTTTTGCAACTAAATATATTTACGAATTAAATTTGTCTAATTTATAGATTATCAGCCCCCAACGATAACGTGTCCTGACATAACAGGTCATACAACCAAAGGAAAAGCGACAGGAAGGGTATCATGGAATATCCAGGTGACAGACAATTCTGCAAATGTGGATCCGAATGCGAAGATAAATTTAGCCTCATCTCAAGAATTTCCTATTGGTGTGAATCTCGTTGAGGTTGCTGCTAGTGACAACAATGGAAATACAGCAATATGCAGATTTAGCGTTATAATTGCAGGTTAATAGATAAAAAGTGAAAAACTTCAGGCCTCTTCCACTCATATCAGGAGATTTTTTGAAAATGGAGATTTTTTTCCTCCAATTTCGAAAGAGCTTCTCTTATAGGGCATGCTTTGTGTGACTTATGACATCATCGTATTTTCGTCCGTACACACGAAAACGATAAGCCGGCGTTTTCAAAAAACTCTATTCTTCTGGTGCCTGAAAGAGCCATTTGGTCGGTAGGCCAAAACTGAGGAAAAAAATACTGATAATAAAAAATATCCGGATACGTGGGCCTGAGACTCTTCGGCTAGTGATTTCAAGCTTCTCTTGTGTTCTCCCAAACATGAATATATTATTCAGGGTAGGACCTTACTAAGTTAAATTGCTAAACTAAAAACCATACAATATTCATTAGTCAACTGAGGGACGACCGGTCATTATTTATCGCCGGTGGGCGGGTGGGGGAGGATTTTTGTTGCGACAACTGAGCACTTACGTTATCCGCCCTCAAAGAATACAGTGTGTCTTGATCCCCCCACCTTGGCGGTGGAAGATTTCATTATCCTCCACCTCTTCTAAAAGCCAGTGTTACTATGTATGTATACTGGTAGCATGCATGCAAGTGACGTATATAGAGGATATTACACGGTGGCGAGAAGATATGAATTTTATGTTCGAGTGGCAAGAACAATATCAATTGTTCAAAAAGCATTTGATTACTGCCGCCTTGATGTGCCTCAGTAGTAAAGGGGGTAGCTCTGAGGGTGTGATCCCATTGAATTCTCGAGGCTTCGCCGCTTATTTGCCATCTCGCCAATGAGGCTATGAGAGGAACTTGTGAGCGAAATTCTATAAAGTTCTTAGATTCGTCGGACGAATCGTCTTCATCCTAATCCGAAATTTAGACCTCCAAAAAAGCGTGTGGTGCATTAAACTGAAGGAAATCAATCTTTAAACAGACTCTGCGAAGATGAACAAACATGCTCTATGGATCACGTAACGCTCTCTGGGTTACTGGGTTAATAATTGATATTGTTCATTTTCTTTAAGGAAAAATCTACTTATTTTATAAACTGGGCGTGCCTTGAGGCAGCCCAGTTAATAGCATACTTCTCATCAACATTGTATTTTGAGCAGAAGCTCTTGATGGTATCTCCATCGTCCACCTTTGAGCTAGTCTGCTACACAGCCGTTTTTAGTGTCGTCACGCAACGCTCCTTCCCAGGAGGAGCATTGCGTGACGACACTAAAAACGGCTGTGTAGCAGACTACCTTTGAGCGTCAACTGGTTCTATTGTACTGATCGTTAATGCTTGGAATAACTTGCCTAAACTGTTATACACGCAGGATTGCTGACTTTATTTCGCAACAGATTAAGGATTTATATGAATATTGCTTAATACGTTTGTAAATAGTTTCAATTATGATATGCAAATGATATTTTTTACTGTTAGTAGTTTTTATGCACCTAAAAAGGGTTGGCAGGGAGAATAAAGATAGACTACTCGTAGTCTACTGTTCGCCTAAAGTACTTACTATTTACTAAGTGCGTGATCTTGTGAGTAGCGAGCCGGCGTTTTGAACAAAAACGAAGCAATTGGCAACTTCTTTATGATAAAAAGGTTTGTAATGTTTAACGGGACGAGGAAGAAGTAGTTAAACACTAATATACACTGTTCCATAAAATGCTATAGCAGCCTTACTAAACAGAATGAAAATTCCCATCGGTCCACGCGCACTTCCTTTTTTTCTTTTCCCCAACCCCCGCGAGCATTTTTCTTTTATTTTTCTCTTCTTTCCAACCTTCCTACAACACAAAAAGGCCTCTGTGGGGAAGAGAATAGTATGCGCGTACCCTTTGTCTCCTACGATAAAATCTTGACCTTTTCTTTTTACAATGTCATTTTACTTTAGATATTGAAGCACCTATCGTCGAGCAGTGTCCAGGAGATATTGTCCGAGAAGAGGGAGACAGAGAAGTGAGAGTACACTGGACGAATCCAGTTTTCTCCGACAATTCGGGAAGTGTCGCGGTCGTCTCAAACAGACAAAGCGGAGCTTTATTTATTGTTCCCAGCACCTCTGTAATTGAGTATACTGCATACGACCACTCATATAATCAGAACAAAAATTGTTCATTCACGATAACGCTGAAAAGTAAGTTTTACTCATACGTTACCAAATTTTCAGCACTGTTTCACGAACTGCAAATAATCATATACAAACTTTTAGTTGCCAGTCAGTTTCACTTTTCTATCTGAGTAGTTTTAGTACAATAACTTTCGTGGGATTGAGACTATTTTGAAAACAAGTAATAGCACATTTGATATTTTTAACACAACACATGTTATCAAAAAGGCAGTTCTTCTGCTAAGACCAGTTAAATGAATATGGCGATAATAATGTAAGTGTAAAAAATAGGTAACAAGAGCCTTAGAAATATAAATACATTTATTAAACCATGTAAAGATATCAACAAGAAAACTAAGGAACAATGCATATCTTAAACAAAGGCTGGAATTGAAGTGCTGTAATAGGCCATTTTACAGTTATGGATGGAAGCGAGGCTGAGGGTGACCTTTCTTTGATACAAACCTTCCTGCTTTATCATGTAAATCAATTTATTCTTATGCTTACTAATATTTTTCAAGAACAATTTCCATAACAAAGCAAAGAAGGTTTGTATCAAAACAAAGTCACCCTCATCCTCGCTTCCATCCATAACTGTAAAATGGCCTATTGTTAAGTTGACCTACCTTTTCAATATTTTAAACCCTTAAGCTAAACAATCAAGGGAAACAAGTTTTGTTGTGTTTTCTTGCAGAAAAAAAGTGTCCTTTATACCCACCTCCTAAAAACGGAGCCCTAGCGTGCGTTAGTAAAGGTGGTGATAATACTTGTGCGGTCATGTGTCAGACTGGTACTGACTTTGAGTTTAACGTCCCATTACTGTACTTCTGTTCATCTGGACAGTGGAGTTTCTATGCGCTCTCCGGCGTGCCTTATGATTCGACTTTACCCTGGCCAAACTGTACTGGTAAGAGCTCTTAATAATTATTTTTTCCAGTCCTCTTGAGTAGCCTGTCCCAGCCAGACTCTCGGTTAGTGAAGACGAGCGAAAAGAGCGACTAGCGGTAACTAAAAAAGGGAGCGAACGAGCGACCGAGCCCAAAAAAATCCCCTTCTTTCCCAGGCCCCCACGTTGCTTAGCGCCATTTTCGATCCGCTTCCCCCACTGTCTTGGAACCTGGAACAGACCACCCAGCCTCGAGAGCTAAGGATTTTTTTATAACGCTTTTAGAATTACCAATTTATGCACTAAAGCACTCGTACCATTAAACTGGGGTGTCCCATTTTGGTCTTACACACAGGTCTATTTTTCGTTTTGAAAAAGAGATCAAGATATGTACGATCTGTTAAGTCATACTACAAATCAAGACTCTTGAAGTTTCAAGAGCAACAATTAAACCATGGATAATAGAAGTAAAGTAAAGTAAAGTAGAGTAAAACTTTATTTACACAAGGTAGCCCATTCAGCTCGGGGCCCTGTATCTTTAAAAATTAATTTACATCAAGAATTTTCACGAATTATTACACTTAAAAAGCCTAATAAAAATACAGTAATAGAATTTAACAACTGCATTAAAAAGCCTAAAAAGGCAGTGCAAAGTCACATTTAAAGCCTAAAATATAATAAAATATCAAAGTTACGATAGAAAGAAATGTCTTGCCCGGCGGCAGAACGTTTGAATGTTTTCACTCTTCACAATTTCATGTTTAAAGGGAGTTTGTTAAAAGTTTTTGGGCCAGTAAAAAGAAAGATCCTTTTCCCAAAATTCTGTTTAACGTTTCGTAGGGATAACTTCATACTTTGCCTTGTGGAATAATTGTGAATGTTCCAAAACCTAGTAAAATATAATGAAAAATAACTAGGAACTAATTAGTGAAGACAGAGAAAAACGAGTCTAGCCTTGTGGTAAGAGCGTCTGCTGGAAAGAGTCGGCCAGTGCAGCTTTTCTGCTGCTTCAGATGAGCGAAAGAATGGGTCTTTCTATTATCCATAAACAAACCAAAGGAGATTTACAATTCTGGAAAAATTTGTACTTTTCACTACTTTTGCTCAAACACAAATTGTTTAAAGAACGACGCGAAATCGAAACGTAACTTTTAAAATGTGACAAGTAACATGACTAACATGACCGACAGAAATTTCATACCCACAGTTTTTGTATATATTGTGTCTGGGTGATCCCGAAGAAGCACTCGTCCTCTTTTAATTCTTTTTCTTTGTTTGTTTGTTTGTTTTTTTAAAATATGCTTCATCTTCGTCAATGCGTTCATCATTTTCGCAGTTCATTCATTTCTTTGTTTGGGTTTGTGCCACTAAAATCAGTATATGTAAAGCAAGCTAGAAGTTTTTTCCGTTTAAGACAATAACAGATAACTATAAGGTCTTTTTAAGTTACAGTTATATCAAGATCCGGAATAACCATGTGAGAAAGTCAGATGCCATTGTTTTAAATTTCTTTTGAAATGGGACTTAATTTTTTTTCATTTCCATTTTCTTTTTCTTTTTTTTAATGCAGCTGGGGTGAATCCATCGTCATCGATAAAGTCGTGGAACCAGAAATATCACTACTTTGATGGAGATGCGCATGATCTTAACGTCCAAGCCTCCATTAAAGACAAATTCTACCAATTGTTGACGTCGCCCTATGTTCCTCCTTTCTTTTGCCAGTTTGACCCCGAATGCTTGCAGAATATCTTCGTTTCTCCTGGGATTAAAGGTAAATCTCAAATCCTGCCAGCCATACAACCACTGAGACCCGCCCTGATTAGGACAAGTATGTGGAAACTAAACTAAACCATTGCAGGGGCGGATCTAGGGGGAGGGTGCTGGGGGTGCGCACCCCCCCTCCTTGAAATGACCTGCGGTTTTCTAATACAACTGGTATTCTGCTAAAAAAAACTATGTGGTTTATTGGTGTTGAAGTAGAGCAAGAGACGAGTGCACCCCCTCCTAAAAAAAATCCTGGATCCGCCAATTGTACGTGATCGCCCCATGCTCCTGGATTGTACCACATCGCATCTTAGGCTCGTAACAAAGCATAGCTCACACTGCAAACAGAGGCTGCTATTACTGTGGCATTACGAACTTGCTAGTTTAGATGACTAATTGGTCAGTGCAAAGAGACTCAAAGCACAATTTTTTGACGCGTTATAATTTATTTATCTAATGCTTTGTAAAAAGTAAACTGAGGTGAAGGAGTTATATTTTTACTCACCTTTTTCTGTATTTGTTTTCCCTTAATAACAGCTTGATTCCAGTCGTGGG